CCTACCCTATTCACAGTCTTTTTCAGCACGATGCTCCAAAGGACCACGGCAGACCTCGATGATCAGGACAGTATCTACATTCGATATGGTACTGATGGAAGCCTATTCAACCTAAGGCGACTGAAGGCCCACACCAAGACCTTAAACCATCTTGTCCGGGAGCTGCTTTATGCTGATGACGCTGCCCTTGTGGCCCACACAGAAGCAGCTCTTCAGCATTTAACATCCTGCTTTGCAGACGCTGCTGAGCTCTTCGGGCTGGAAGTCATTTTAAAGAAGACAGAAGTTCTCCATCAACTAGCAGCTCAGGAAGTCTTCCATCATCCTCATATCACCATTGGCCAATCAGAGCTCAAATCAGTTCAGCAGCTTAATTACCTATGTAGTCTCATATTTTTTCTTCCTTTGTTCCCAAACAAAGCTATGTTTATATAAACAAAAGGTTCTTGGCAGCTCTCCCGGTAGTGCTCCCAAACAATGGGCAGTGTTTGCACCAACTTGGCTCCCTTCCCAGACTTGTTCCTAAACAATCATGGCAAAACCAAAATAAACCGGGCGGAAACACCAGATAAGAGTGATATGGTTTGAAGCTGGCTCCCTGCCATGTCTCCAAACCTTACCACAAGAAGTTCCCCTCCCCCAAACCTCAGGGAGAAGAGGGAGAAAAAACAACCAAGAAAAACCAAAACGAGAGAGAGACCTAAAGCAATATATATATAAATATATTTACACTTATGTTACAGTTATATACAATTGAAATATATATACAATTTTACAAGGGAAAGGGAAGGGGGAAGGGAAAAGGAACAAAACCAAAATAAAATATATATATATCCCGATTAGTAGCCCAATATCTAACAACTAAAAGAGTTAGTAAAGAAATATCTCACTACTCTCCTTGGGACAACCGAGAGTCGCTCTGGAACAATCGCCAGCAACCTCCGTCTCCCAAGGTCGACAAGGCCCAACCAGGCCTCGCTCCCCAACACGACAGACTCAACAGCAGGGAACCTGCACCTCCAAGCCGCCGGAAGGAAAGAGACCGAAGGCCTCTCCTCCTTTCTTCTTATAGTCTGGCTTACATAAAAATCACAGGGAACACTGGGTAAATCTGGACCCTTCCTTGGTTACAAACTGGTCACCAAGGAAGGCCTAGGCCAAACTACCACAACTATTCAGGATCGAAGTTGAGGGAAATAACTAGAAAATTATAGATATCCTTTAAGACAAAGGCTTTTAGTGCTTCTGTAAGTTCATAGTGTGTCTTACATAGTTAGTGGTAGGTTGAGATTCCAGGCTCATTTAACAGATTATTTATAACACTGAGAAGTTCTACCCATTTTCTAGTACTGAACTGAAGTATTGTATCACTTAATCCTTTCAATGGTGGTTGGGTTGGTCTATATCTGAACTCCACTGCTGAAAGATTCCTGTGGCTTAACAGATATCTTAGATTTGGGGTTTTTTTCAGCTGTGGGTAACAATTATCACTAAATGAATATCCATCAAAAATATCAGCATACACCAAAGATGATTCTGTTGATTTCAGAATGCTCAGTAAAGCCGAATCTTGGAAGAGGAATACACAAAATTGTCTAGTACATGGGAACATGCTGTAGTTTTAAATTAAAAAGCGTAATGTTTTGTTAAATACTAGGAACGAGCTTCCCATTGAGATGAAACAATCTATTCAAATCCAAAGTATGAGGCATTTGTCTTCATTGAGTTTTCATAGGTGTTTTGACATGTTCCACTTCTCACTGAAGCCTTTTTTCCGAAATCAATATGATGTATCTCAGATATAGATAAATTTTTCTAAATCTATATTATAACTATGTATTTTATACATATATATATTTTTATATATTATTTATATATATACACACATATACATCAATATACATGTACATAGATGCATATTCCAGCATATAATTTTGGTCGGATATTTAAATATTTACATAGGCAAGTACATCAATATAGATATATAATACATATCTATATTATATAATTCAATCTAGATATATATATATATATATATATATATTCTATCTATATAGAAAAATAGATATCCAGTATATCCATTTGTGTATCTATCTATTAGATATCTACTGATATCTAATTTATATAGAGGCCTATATATATATGTATGTGTGTTTTCTTTTTTGTTCACCTATATAGAGCTAAAAATATTATCTATATGTAAATACTTATATAGATAGTTCTCCATGCACAAATATATTTTTTCTCCCATGAAGCTGGTCTTTCCATTAGCAAGATGTCCCATACTCTTATTTTCTGATAACACAGAACCACATGTCGTAAAAAGAGACTGTGTGATAGGCTGTTTACTGTTGCTCTAAGATGTCTATGCCAGATATAGATTATGATTATTCACTGGAGAAAATTTGGTCATTAAAACTGAGATTAACTTGCTCATTAGCATTAAAATTTTCCCTTACAATTCAAGCACTGCTAGCCAGGTACAGTCTCTGGCTTCTTTTCTGTTTTTCAGCAGGCTGATGTCCCCTAGGCTGGTTGCAGGACACAGGCCAGACGTACTGGGAAAGGGTCCCTCCTTAGCTGTTCTCCCCACGGTGAGGACCATAGCCATGGTGAGAATGTAACTGTGAAGCAGTTCTTTCTTGCATGTCACAACCAGGGATTTGGCCTCAGCCCAGGAATGCTGCTGTGCAGTGAAGATAGAAGGCATGATGCTCAGAGGTGGCACGTGCCTCATCCCAACTGCAGCAAAGGGGCTGAAGCCCCTCCATTGTCAAGAGAGGGAAACACCTTCCACCAGCAAGCAATGGGAGATATCTTTACCCAAATCTGGACTTTCTGTAGTAGGCCCAGTTTCTGCATGTTCTCGGTATCATTAGTGCTAGAAGCTAAGCTGGGGCTACTGGGACCCTGGCATGAGCTGTGTTGTTCAAAGGAAAGAGTTATGTTGAAGACTGTATACTTCGAGGGGAAAAAACCAGGCTAGGAATTTATATACGGTTACATATGTGCCAACTGTGTCTTGGAAAAGCTTATTTTATTCCTATAAAATTCTGTTTCTTCCTTCAGAGAGATGATTGATTTAGCTTGGTTTATACTAGTGATGAAAGCAGTCAAGACCAACCAAAAAATACAACTTTCAATGTTGTGATGCCATATACTGGATTGTTCTGTCACTTACTCAGGAAGTGTGTATGCAGATTTTTCAGCATGTAGCTCCCCCAAGTTGTGACATACTGAAGATGCAAGAAAATATTTCCTAATTTCTTTCCTTGGTTAGGGTAATCTCTTCCTCATTCTTAGCCCTTCTGATGGGTTGGGTGTAGCCCTTCTCCTCTTTTCTAGGCCTGAGAGAGTGGGCTTTTTCTAGTCTCTTATATTCTTATAGAAGAAAACTGGAAGGATAAAACAATGAAAATCAGTGAGTCACAATCTATAATTTAAACATAATTCACTATGACTTATTCATTAAATGCTTTTGCAGAATTTCATGTGACGAAACAATAACCATAAGCATGTTCATCACTGCCTACTCAATCTTCTCTGTACAGCTGTGTAATTCTGTGATTCAAATGATTTTGGAAAGTCTTAACAGATATAAATTGTCACAGAAGCATTAGAGGCAAAAGAACTCAATGGCTTAAAGCAGCACAGGGTCATACTTTTTTATGGTGAAGTTCAGCTGACACTAACATCTTCAGTTGTTACACAGACCTCTTTCCACTCCTTAAGCAAGAAGGTGTTGAGAGTAAATGGTAGGACTTGTACTGGCATGGGAAGCCTAATCCAGACTACTATTTCAAGACCTGTCTGGATGCCTCTAGAAGATAACAGACCTTCCATAGTGTCACTCAGTATTGCAACCATGGTTTTTCTCTTATTCCAGAGTCAGATTTCCTGGTCTCTTCTGTTTGGAAAGAGCTATTTCCTGCTGCATCTCATGAACTTCATCAGTAAGTACCTCACACCATAGTGGCCTACTAACCTTTAGCCTTTTGAACTAGTGAGGGTTGATGCTGAGGAAAATAATTTAAAAAATGATAGGTGTCCTTTAAAACAAAGAACTCTCTGGAACAGCAAAAAATCCACCTTTACTACCTTAAATATATGGTTTTAGACAAGTAAGAAAATTCAAATTGGATTAAGAGCAAAAGTTCTGATAACTTGATTTAAATAGTGTGTGCTATATAGTGATAAGAAATTGTTTTAGGACTCAACAACCCAACAGTCAAAGGAGAGCAAATTAAGGGGATCATGCCATAACACAGTGGTTCCAATGACTCTTGAAGAAGTCAATAGAATGTGGAATCCTAGAGAGGAAAAAGAAAACTCATTAATTATCTGTAAAATCTAGAGCTAAATCTCTTTTTAATAAAAACAGACAAACAAAACCCCCAAACCATAACTCATTAGGCTGCATTATTATGTATTCATTGTTGTCTATGACATTATTTATTCTGCTAATTGTATAATCAGTCGTTAACTGGAAATATGTGTTAAACAAAGGAGTCTCAGTAATTTAATATTTAGTCCTTAAAGTTTACTCCTGAACTTAAATATAATATACAACCATCAGAATATAAAATAAACTGGACTAATATTTCATCATCGACTGAAGGGGATCCTAGGAAATTGTCTAATACTCCCCCATACCCACTACCAACACTAGTTTATAATTCTCTTTCAATACTTGTGAAGTATCTGTGTGGTATTTAAGAATTTATGGATATTCCACAGCCTCCACAAGGAGTCTGTGCCAGTGCTCCTGTCTTGACTGAAGCATTTCTAATATCTAGTCTGAATATTTTTAACTACTCAATTTGTCCTACTGTGGCCATGAACTGATTGCTTCCTGTCTTTAGATGTATAAAAACATTATAAAAGAGGCTTACGTAAGCTTTGAATTGCATGGGATAATTCATCTAAAAAAGAGAACAATCTTTGATACAGGATCTGCATTGGTCCCTGATCACTCTTCCTGCTTTTCTCCTGTTTTCTAGAGTTGGTCTACACTTTTGAAAATTCCACCTGAGGTCTTACTGTTGCTGAATAAGGCACGTAGGTAAATTTGTGTGTATTTCTGATGGTGATTCTGATTATGTCCTTTTTGCTTTAGCAAATCTATTTTTACAAAGTTGTTGAAAGAGCAAATGCAAATTTTGTGTATAATAGACTTATTCCAATACACCTATCCAGTAAAAAATATTAACATAAATGCACAAGGCATATTGATACATGCAACTAGTGTGAAATAATAATTTGCGAACTTTTCATTACAAATGAAATGTAAAAAATTCTTATTTTTTGTGTGTTTTTTTTTAAGAAAACTAAATTGATTATACAGTCTTGTTTGTGCCGTCTGTATTGGTTCTTCAATATTGTAGTTCTTTTGCAGTGACCGTGTCACAAGAAAGTGTAGGTCATGTATGCTCTCTGCAACTAAAGTCGTCCTGCAAGTACCAGACATCTTGATCATGCAAACTATGTCAGTTGTTGAGAAATTTCATTTCCCTTAAATCTTTTTTCACTTCCTCTAGTTTATTTGGGTTGCTTCCACCTCAGCAGCTTTGCTGTCTCAGATGTGTAGTGTCAAATTACTGCTCAGAGGAAAACCAAAAATTAGTCCTGAAAAAGATGACATTCCTGAAGGAAGCAGAAAACAAGCACAAGGTTTTCTGAGGTGCACTAGGTTAATTGGTGTCTCTGAAAATCAGGCCATAAATGGATATTGTTTCAGTTAGAAAATAAATTGGGTTTATGTGACAGTTCTTTTTATATGATTGAATTAACTCTAAGCTTCTTTATGAGCTATTTATATTGATGTGCAAATCTTCCACCAGCAAAAAGAAAATACTTTCTGAGGATGTAATTAATTTGTCTTAATCTATTCTCTAGTTTAAATTGAAACAGAGCATAAGCATCCCACTTGAATAGCTTGTAAGACACCATCTGAACTTATTAATAGTCTTCTGCATGAAATGTCAGCTTTCTTCCTAAATAAAATAAAATCAAATTAATATCTTAATATAGAAATACAGAATATATGTAGTGTGCTTCAATATGATCCTTTAGGCGCAGCCGCAGTAACACGAACAGAAGGTCCCAGCTGTTCTAAGTTCAACCATAAGGCAATGCCTTAATAGTGCAATCAGTTTGCCCTAGATTCCTTCCAGCAGAGTTCAGTATGTGTCCTCTCTGACAAGCACACATAATCCTTTGAGCAGCTCTGTGTTGTGAAGTCCTTTTATAGATTCAAATTTAAATAGATTAAGCTTTTTTATTTTTTTTGAAACTTCCAAGACTTTGAATGCATAATACCAACAACTACATCAGAAAATGTTAAAATTCTGTTACTTCTGTTATTCCATGAAGTCTGTCTGCACTTGGCTTCATTTTATGCATCTGTAACATACACAGTTGTGTATGTTACACATTTGTGTATGTTACAGTTGTCACACAGCTGTCCTGGGGAAAAATAAAATCCTGAAGAACTCACTTAAAGAACTACATGAATTAGGGTTTTCTGGTCTGTATAAAGCTTTGAATTTTGCATATTACTCATGTATATTACAGCAATTGTATAGGGGTGTCTTCTTTATTTGAGAACAGACTGCTATGTCTTATGTTAATTGATTTTTTAGCTTTTCCTTATCCAGCAATTAGTATTGCTGTTAGTTGATGTTAGTCATCATATAATCATTGATTGCATACCTCTTGGATTCCTTAAAAACCTCATTCTACAGTATTGTATGGCCAGTGAAACTTCAGTCCACCGAACATATTGTTTACAGAGAACACTACTTTTCTTTTGTTTCACTTCAAAGTATAATTATTTGGATAGTCCCATTTGAGATTTCAGTGTTGCTTTCTCTTTTCCCAACTCTAGTCAGCATCCTCTTGAATCAAAATTGTGATTGGAGTCACTGTGTTCCTTGAACATCTCAAATTTGGAATATCTGGTAACTTTTTGCTTCCACTGTTTAACATTGGGGGTGATGGTTCTTCCAATTTTTAGCTTGCATAATACTTGCGAACTAAACATCTTTAAATATGCATGATATTAGGTAAACTGTAGTTCTAGTCTGATTTTTCTTCTGTTTCTCTCCCTTATGCTTTTCAGCAAGAGCTGTTTGTGATAAAACACCATACTTCAGGGTAAAAACACTGAAAACTTCAAAGTCTGTTAGGTTTTTTTACATTTAAGTGCCTACACAGCAAGCAGAATTTAGGGTAAGAACCTGCACCTTTATAATGCACTTCTATGCTCTTAGTCTATGCTTTCCTGTACTAGTGAATCATATGGATTCTTGTTTTCTCTCGTAACTTTAACTGCCAAAATTTTAAAAGGTAAGTCTTCTCCACTCTACTGCAAAGAGGTCTTCTAGAAATAGAGTAAATCAGAAGTCACTGTGCTGACTGGATTAATCTTTTTAAAAGAATATATAATTATGTAAATTTTAATTCTTGCACAAGTTAAGAATTTTGTATTGACTTTTCCTTCCACATCTATATAGTTATTGCAAAGAAACTTGTAAGTAAGCTGTGATTTATGGACTAAAAATGCTTTGATCTTTTCCAGAATCTGTAGTTACTCTCCTTTTCCATGAAGGAGAGTATTTGTGGTATTACAGCCTAAGCCAATGTAACTAACAGTGTCATTAAACTTGCTTTATTTGCCCTGTACCAGGCTCCAATGAAATTATTAAGTTTTTGCATAACAACCTGAAGAACATCTGTTTGGCTGAAGAGAGAGATCTTTAATACTGGATGTAGTCCATGTTCTTTTATATCAAGTAAAGCCCAAATATGTATGAACATGGTAAGAAGAAGAAAAAAACAAACAAACAAACAAAAATCACACAAACTGTCATAACTCTTGAGAAAAAGAGAAGGTATTCCTAGTGGCATAATAAACAATGGATTTTTAGCTTTTCAGGAAGACAGTTTTGCCTAAAAATTTATTCTGATTCAGCTGCAGAATGAAACCTGAAATGATAAATATTCAGTTCTGCCCAGTGTCCTGCTGCTTGTTAACAACTGAAAAACACGAGATATCATAAAATGTTTAAAAATTAAAAGGAAGATGGAGACATCAGACAATCTCAAGACTTGTTGGACAATGTAATTTTGTACTGGAATAAAAGTAGCAGAAGTAAAGATTTTGATATGAGGTCTCCTTTTATTTCATCTCATCCACAGATTTGTCCTCTAAAGAACATTAGATGAAGAACAAAGACTGAATAGCCATTCAGCAGAGGCTCCATATCAATAAAAGTTCAATTGACCTAAAAAATTCAGAAGCCTTCTAAGGTATTTTGTACATTAAGGCTTGTGACCATTTTGGACAGGTATGATTTTTTTTTTAATTCCCCTATTTTCCATACAATCATGGGAAGAGTGCCTGTTGTTTGTATTGTTTTTAAAACAAAATGTGATTACATGTCTAAGCATTTTCCTAAATATAGAAATTACCTTGCATTTCTGAGAGCTTTCTCTTAATTTTCCTTATTTGTTTGAATGTGTTTAGAATGTTGAGAGTTTTTGTGGGTTTTGTTGTTGTTTCTTGTTGTTGGGTTTTTTTTCCAAAATAAATTGATCCAGTTTATTTTCTGTATACCAGCTCACAACAATCTGAGCAAACCATCAACCTTATTTTGTGGGCAGGCATACCCACAGCTTAACAAAATCTGTAATTATTTCTGAGAAATTAATGTGTATGTGACAAGCTACTCTTACAGAGGTATGACACCAGTCCCTGTACCTTATGCTGTAAAAACCAGCTATTAAAGAGCAGCAATCACATGTGCTTCCTCCTGTGGCTGTCACTGCTAACAAAGCTCTCTTCACCAGCCACATGCAGCCTGTTATCTTTCTCATTAATGCTTGCTGTTTCTGACTCTGCCATATGTTTCTGAAGTGATGGTTTTCTCCATCTATAAATTGGTAACTATCACAGAAAACAAGCAGTTGATTATCTTTTTACTTGATACTTTTTCTGTGTTTAGGGGAGTGCAGAATGCAGCTGGTGCATCCCTGACACCACAGGATGATGGTGATGGCAGTGGAACAAAGTCAGTGTGCCTGGAAACTTCACCGCCACTAAAACTCAAGTGAACAGGAAGCTCTGACATCTAAACTAGGGAAAAATGCCAAAAAGGACGGGACCCAAAAAAGTAAAGACTTATTCAGCTACCTATAGTTTTATATTACAATACAAAAGTGTGATGGGAAAAAAATACTTATTTTTTCATGCTAACCAATTTTATATTTAGGAAAAAAAGTCAGACAAGAAATCTATTTCTCTTCCCCTCCTCAGACTGTTTTGATAACATTTAGCTCATGTGATTAGATGATATGGAATCATTTGTGACTATTGGAGATAGAAGGCTATGGGGGAGCATAACAAAGTTAGATGCCTAGGTGCCTAGGAGGCAGAATGACAGATGAGTCTGTGTATTGTCAGTGCAAGCAAATGCACAGTAAAAGGGATAATTGTAACTGCAAAGATACCTTGAGGGGATGTTTTAAATTAACTGTACCTTTAAGGAAAAAGGATCTGTGCAGAAATCCATGAAATTACTTGCCTAAAACATGGTTGTGCACTAGGAAAGTAAAATAATAAAATAAGGATGGAAGAAGGAGAGATAATAAGGATCCCTGTGATCATGTTAACCCTTATAAAATGGAGATTAGAATGAAATATTTAAAAAGTATTTTAGCTATAAAACTTTATTATTATCCTTTATATCTGACATTGATTATCCTATTTAGAAAGAGAATATATGTATAGCACAGAAACATGGGTTTTATTTAGGCTTAAGTTTACTTTTATAGTTTATATGAATTAAGCAGAACCTTTTATAGCTAAACAGTCATCATGTTTAAAATAGACAGATTATACTGATTAGTTAGTACTTACTTATTTGCAGAGAGAAATGTGGTACATGGGGAATTATAATGAGCAAGGACAGAATAAAGGGAAGTCATAGCAGAGAAAATTGTTCCATTTTTACCCTCTTTCTATAGTGTCACTGGAGAACCTGAATGGATGAGAATTGATGGTTATGTAGCAGATAATCTTGAGTGCCATCACGTGGCACGTACAGGACAAACAGGGGATCAGACTCAGTTAGCATTATTTATGAAAAGCAGGTCCTGCTTGACCAACCTGATCTCCCTCTATGACAGGGTGACCCCCTTAGCATGTGAGGAAAAGGCTGTGGGTGCTGTTTGCCTGGAGTTCAGTAAAGCCTGTGACACCATTTTCCACAGCATTGTTCTGGACAAAACTGATTCTGAAGATGATGCTAGACTTGATATTCTGCAATGAAAAGACTTTGTGACTACTTCATATTTTTTTCAGATTTTACTTTGCTCAAAAAAATTCTCACAATGGTTAGGAAAATCTTTAAGATAATACTGGAATTTTAATGAATATTCTTGGAGCCACAACTGTCAATGAAATCCAACATTTGAATATCAATTTAATTTTGATCAAGCATTATATCCTAAGGCTACAATCTATTTCATAACTCTGAAGCGCCTATGTCAGCATGATCACTGTCTGCACTAGGCACAATTTCAAATCAATGCTATTCTTTTTTTTTTCTTGAAAAGGAGAGGCCTTTGTTAATCTTATATCACATTGAAAATAAAATAATCTCCCTATGGAGCTCCATCTATCATAAAAGGAAAATAAAATAGGAAGCTCTTAGAATATGGCATCAATTTCTCTCCTGGCATATTCATAAGGCAAATTGTTACAAGTATGAAAGACAAAAATGCCTGGATTCTGTACTACACAAGTATCTAGACAATTTATGCAAATACATCATTTCAATTCAGACTAAAGAGCTCATCTTGAAAGAGTTCAATATAATCAGTGAACTGGCACAATTTTTGTAGGACCTGATTCTGAAATTAGCAAAGTACTGAAGACCTAAAGCTTAGGTAGAGTTCTGGTATTCTGTATAAATTGCAAGGGTTAGTGTGCTGGAGTGAAAGAGATGCACTTACTAGTAATAATATTGACATATTTCTACTCCAAGCCATTTCTGAAGTAAGTTGAACAAAAACGCATGGTATTAAAAGAATTATTTATGTTGTTTCCCAAGTCCTAAAATAGAAAATTGATATCCGTGTTTGAATTCAACCTGTATAGGAATACTTTGTTAGATTTAGTGAACAAACAGAGGATTTCTCTTGATGTGGGTTTGGAACCTCCATGAATACTGAGGGAATCCCAATCTGACCTTCAACTTTTGATCAACTACAGGAAGTATGAACACCTTTGTAAACTCTTTGTTTCAATTTTGTATCAACAGCATGAAACCATAAAAATATAGAGAAGGCCACTCATAATTAGGAGAAGCAATCATTCATCTCAGAACCTTATCTCTGACAGTGGACAAATAAGAATTGCTAGAGAAGAATGAAAGAATAAGAAATTTTTCATTGCTTTGTCTCCCAGCACTGAAATAAAAATATTCCAGGTAAGAGGCTTAGATAGTGTCTGTGTACTTTATAGACTTCTCTTCAACAGTTTCAGCATCCTGCTGCAATGAATTCCTTCATGTTACCTACACTCTGTTAAAAAAACTTCCTTATGCCTTCCAAAGGGAAAAACTGAAAATTGGTAATATATTTATACACTGATAAGGTCCATAGTTTCTCTAATTAAGGGAATCAATCTTGAGATCTGTTGGCAAGGGGGACGCAGGGAGTGGAGCAAAGCTCCCCCTGGTCATGGTTATTGTTTTATTCATCACTCATGTGGAAAGTTGTTCTGCAAGGGAGAGGATGGAAAAAAAGAAGACTTGCTATAGTTACTTTCCATTCTTTTACTGTATGGAGGGCAGATCTCTTATTCTGATCTTATAATATTAAAGGGAAAAAATAAGTCTTGTTTTTGTTAACTGTGCTCAGGGAAAATACTTTGTTCCTTGTTCTCAGGGAAAATCCTTTTTAGCATTCCATTGTGGATGAAAGCTTGAACTGTGCCATGTATGTATGTATGTATGCTGGATGCCTTCAAAGGGTTCCTGTTATGACATCCTAGGTTTCAATAAGCAGCACCTCAGAAGTGCTCAGCCTGAGACATGATAGTGTTGTACATAGCTTGCTGTGACTTGGCTGACCTGCCATGAAGAACAGGGATAGACAGATTTCTGTGATACTTGAGGAACAGGGAAGCACTTTTACTATAATGTCAACCTTCATTTCTCTGAACCAGGTGGCAAGTTTGGCCACCTCTAAAACCAATTAATTTAATCTTATATTAAGACTAAGGGCACAGAGTATAGGACCTTAGGACCTTCATAAGGCTTAACAAAGATAAATGTGAAGTCATATAGTAGGATGGAATAATCCTGAGCAGCAATCCAGGCTGGGCGGTGTCTGCCTGAGCAACAGCTCTGCAGTTCCTGGGGCTCTGGGGGACAGCAAGCTGCACAGGAGCCACTCTAGGGCTGGCAGCAGCAAGGGCCTTCACCATCCAGTGCTTCAGTAGCAAGGGCATAGTCAGGAGAGGGAGGGATGTGATGATCCTCTTCCACCTGTCACTTCTTGGAACACCACCCACAGGTTTGGTCCCCTCCAGCTGAATATATACATGGAACAACTGGAGAGAGTCCAGTGGAGGGCCACTGAGGTGGAACCTAATTCCAATACCTACAAGGTAGTGATAGAGAAGATGGAGATACTCTCTTCACCAGGGTACATGATAACAGGACAAGAGGCAACAGGGAAAATCATGTCTGGATATAAGAAATTTTTTTTCCTTGTGAGAACAATTGAACAGTGAAGTAGACCAAAACAAGAAGTGATGAAATCTGGGAGAATTGAGACCTGGCTCAGCAGAGCTCTTGAAAATCTAAATAAAGCCCTGACTTCAGCAGAAGTTGGAACCAGATGATCTCCAGATCTCCCTTCTGGTCTAGACTTCTGAGATTCCGATGATAGTTAGTTTCTGGTGGCCTTATTTATCTCATTGATACTCTGTAACACAGCCCCTACATGGAAGAAATCAGTGTGCAAATTTTGAACGTTATTTCTGTGTATGGTCTTGTTTCACTATTGTGAAAATACGTGAGAAAAATTTAGTTTTGAGATGAAGCAATAGGGAATCAGAATATAAATGTCATTAAGTGAGCCCCAGTGTTTTAAATGGAACTCAGATTATTACCTGCAGTACACAGTGATGTTCAAAGCATGTCTTTGCAAGGGAATTTTGTAGTTGTTTGTATTTTGAAGTGCATTACTTTTGCTTCATCCAAAACATAAAAGTGTAGAACATGAGTCTGAGTGCACATGGCTCATTCTTGGCTACTCTGCTTTACTTCTGTTTATTCTTCACATACTTCCTCTTCATCATCTCTGTGTTGTCTTTGATCATTTACCGACTTCATTATACAGCTCCAAGAAATCATAAATTATATGGAAAAAAACCCCAGAATAAACACGGCAATTTTGCACAACACAGAGTAAGGAAAAATAATGAAAAAATTAAATAACAGACTTAAACCAAAGTATCAATAAAGGGAGAATTATTCACATGCAGTTTTAAAATGGGAAGCTCCTGGATATGGGCTTGTGGAGATCAAAAGTGGAAATACTCCTCTATGAAATGTACAATCCCCTTTTTGTGTATGCATGACTATTAAACAAGTAATACATTGCTATAAAAAGTAAAAAAGTTTCTTACACTAGTAAAGGTAATTCATTCGAAGTAAAAATTCCATGTTGCTAATTGTCTCAAATAATCAATTATTGAAAAGCAAATATTAAATTTTCAGCTGGGAAACAAATCCATGGCCTAAAATACTTGCTCAAATATTTTGCTGTGGAATGAGAACAATGACAAAAGTTGGCAGGGGGGAGGCAGCAAAGCAAAGTGCGCTTTGGCAAAAGTCTCTGACCTGTGTAATTTGCTTCCTTGCATGTTCCAGTGAGTGCTGGGTGGCTGTGAGGCACTATTGCAATAACTGTAATATTTCTTTCCTTGTGAGGCTATCCTGTCCTTTTTATCTCACAACATTCCATGCAGAATTTGGATATAGAGGGCACATGGAAAAATGTGGAGGTACTATCAGGAATTAAATATGTTGGGGTGGGTTCAGGCACTGTGAGAAGTAATGCAACAAAAA